TATACATTTTAAGCCCGACTTTTATTTATTTATTTATTTATTTATTTATTTATTTATTCGGTATAGATCTCTACAAATGAGATCATATTTAATTCAATGCATAATTTGCATAATTAAACAACATTTTATTTCTTTTTTTTTTTTTTTTTTAGAATATATCTTAATATAATCAACCAACTGGCCTAAAAAATAGTGATGATAATTTTTTCTCTGTTCATCATCAATGTCTTGCCCTTATGGGTTATAAATACATCTACAAAAAGTTGAATAATCTAATGCATATAGCATAACAGATCGATAAGCAGTGCATGAATGGGCAGATATCACGTCATCGCCGCTGGATAACAGAAACGCCTTTCATTAGAAATAAAGGGAGAGAAACAAACCAGCGCACACTGGCGCGGGGCAGTTTATATGAGCTGATGACGTCACGGCCAGTGCGTGCGTGCGTGCGTGACCGCGGGAACAGGCTGGAACTGAACACGCTGTGCCGCACGTGCCCCTCCCCCGTATCTCCCCGCCCCTCACGTGTGCGCCCATGTTGAAGAGGAGCGAGCACAACACGCACCTACAGACCCCAAAACACACACGACACACCCAAATATCGCATGATAACAGAATTTAATCATCAGGTGATGTTTAATGAATTTCACGATCATTAATATTAAATGCACCGCAAATCGTTTGCACACCCCTATATGAGTAAGTGGGATATGCTCATTTGCATATTACATGAGCGCACTGGGTAACCACAAGCGTAAAAAACTCAAGATGTTTAACAAGCTGAAGGATAACCTGCCTTGATATATGCTTTTTATGTCTCATATGAACATGCATTGTTAAAAATAAAGGTTTTATTGGTGTTGATGGTCTCATCATAGCATCAATGAAAACTTTTTTTAATGCAAAAATAAATGGATAGGGTTTTTTTATAGGTGATTGAAATGTTAAGTTGAAGTACTCACTACACTTTTGTACTCAAGTAAAAGTAAAGACGTACAGCCTGAAATAAGTACTTAAGTAAAGAATATTAATTATATTCAATTCAATTCAACTGTTTATTGTCATGTGCACAGTAAGGAAACACGTTTCCCTGTACAATGAGATTCTTACTTTGCCGTCCACAGTGAAGTCATACACACAACATACACATCATACACAACATACACATAAATACACATATATACACAGAAGTGACTGAAGTATGAAGTATATAAATATCTATGAAAGTAAACAATATATAAAACTGATTTAAGTAATGAAACAGATGTAAACAAAGTACAGTGGTTCTTAAATTGTGCTTATTATGCAAAAAGTGCCTAGTATATTGGCCTATACTAGTTATATACCAATACTATTAAAATATTTTGCTTAGAATACTGTAATATATGCTTTACTATATATTATAATAAATAGCATCTTTGTAATAAAGTATTCCATTGCTTATTAGTCTACTAACTACAAACATTGAGAAAAAAACACATGATTGTTAAAGGTTTTTCTTTCTTTTTTTAAAAAGTATTAGATTGAAAGATCAGAGAAGTTCAGTACACCATGATCGAAAGTGGACAAAGACATTAGCCTCACCCATTTAAATGCAAGCTTTTAACAGGAATGTGTCTCTTGTTAACCTGTGATCTGATCGACCAAAATGAAGCTTAGAACTCGGTATGAACATGACATCAGTCATGTTTACATTGCTGATTCCTTCTCTCTCGTCCAAGTTTGCCATTCTTGCCTTTCCCATGGTGAGCTTAATAAACAAGCTACGCTGCATGATCAGACATTGAAAAAGGCGCGCAATAACAAAAAATAAATAAATAAATCAATTGAATTAAAAAGGCGTTCATATTACAATGGCAAGAAATATAATAGATCGCAACAAAACACATTAAAACAAAAGTAACGAGACTGATTTCAAAATGTGAGGAGTAGAAAGTACAGATATCTGCGCAAAAACTGAGTAACAGTGAAACGTTTTCAGAAAAATAAGTAGTGGATTAAAGTACTGTTACCAGAAAAATCTACTTAAGTTCAGTAACTTTAAGGCCCAATTTCAATTCTATTTTTGTACACGAAAACAACATTAGCATTATAGCAGACACTGTAAAACACACACTCCCAGCCACTAGACTTTTTGTCAGAATGTTGTGGGACTGCTTTACAGGAGTTATGATTATGGATTATAGATCACGAAATTTAGCGTTTTTATTTTAATTTTTTACATTTTTTTAAAGCATGTCAGTAAAACATGAGTATGGTTAGTATATTGTGTTTGTTTGTCGTATACATTCTGAATAATGACAAAAATACTCATTTGTGGATCTCCTTACTTCCGGGTGCAGCTATCCTGCTGTTGTGGCTGGTGTATTTTGGGAAATTGTCCTATCTCTTGGTTTTAAGTGTGGTCCTGAAAAATCTTTGTTTAAAGGGCTATTCACCTCTTTCCCTTAGCCTTACGCCTTTAAGCTAAAGAGAATTGGGACACCCATTAAATGTCTTAAATTTGATGTCAAAAACTAAATTTTAGGCCCTAAAAAGTCTTACATTCACTTAAATATTTTGTTGTAGGTCTTAAATCATGTTAAACATAATTTGTCCAAGTAGAGCTATCCAATCACCAGTAATCCATCCCAAAACTTTTGTGTAAAACTGGTGTTTAGCCCTGTATAAGTCTAAAATTCCATTCATAATGGTCTTAAAAGTGTCTTAAAGTCTTCAATTTAACTTAAAGAAACCTGCTGAAACCCTGTTCATTTATTAATTCATTCATTCATTCATTCATTTTTAACCGCTTTTCAGGGGCCGGGTCACGGGGACAGCAGTCTTAGGAGAGAGCCCTTGACTTCCATCTCCAAAGACACTTCCTTTAGCTCCTCCAGGGGTGTCCTGAGGTGTTCCCAGGCCTTTCGAGAGACGTAGTTCCTCCAATGTGTCCTGGGTTTTCCCGAGGCCTCCTCCCGGTGGGACATGCCTGGAACACCTCCCTAGGTAGGCGTCCAGGAGGCATCCGAAACAGATTCCCGAGCCACCTCAGCTGACTTCTCTCAATGTGGCTCTACTCCGAGCTCCTCCCAGGTGTCAGAGCTCCTCACCCTATCAATAAGAGTGCGCCCTGCCACCCTGCGAAGGACATCTTGTGCTTTTTGTCATGACCCAAAGCTCATAACCATAGGTGAGAGTAGAAACGTAGATTGACCGGTAAATCGAGAGCTTTGCATTTCAGCTCAGCTCCTTCTTTACCACAGTGGACCGGTACATCGACTGCATAACTGCTGTTGCTGCACCGATCCACCTGTTAATCTCACGTTCCATCCTTCTCTCATTCATGAACAAAACCCCAAGATACTTATTACAATTATGACTTAATGCAATGAAAACATTTACAATTATATTTATAACACAGTGGAGTTCAATGCTGAACACACCAGTAAAGCAGAATCTGCCTTGACTTGGTTTGCTCACCAAAGTCTCTGGATTGTCAAGTCATATATAAACTAAATCCAATTATGTACAATGTTTAATCGAAACATTTAATTTCTGTTAGCTTTTTACAATAAAACAAACCATAAAGGGACTGTTAAAATAAACGAATGTGCTAATATAAAACTAAATTTCAATCAATAAATTGTTTTTATTTGTTTACATATAAACTAAATCCAATTAATTTACAATATTTAATTGAAACATTTAATTTCGGTTAGCTTTTAACAATAAAACAAACAAAGGGTTACGTTAAATTTTAATTGACAATCTTGAAAAATCTCCATCATTGTTCCTGTCTTGTCAGAGGGATGGCGGGCCAAATCAAAGGTTACCATGGGCCAACCTTTGCCCATGGACAGGCCCTACTATTTATGTATATATATATATATATATATATATATATATATATATATATATATATATATATATATATATATATATATATATATATATAATATTATTATTTAATTATATATTTTACATATTTAACTATACAAATATTTAAATTTAGTGTCTCCAAGTTTTTTGTCTTGTAATTCTGGAATTAAATACAAATATTTTTTGTTACTTTATTATGACTTCTAAATTACTTTTTTATGATTTCTACATTGTAAAGAAATTATTGCTGGTCTAAAAATTTTTTTGTAGTTTTTTGTTCATTTAAACTTTTTATTGCATTGCATGTTAGAAATATTAGATTATTTGGGTAGAAGTACATGGTACATTCTCTGTAAGCCCTAGAGAAGGTTGTGCGTGAAAATCCTAGTTGATCAGCAGTTTTTGAAATACTCAGACCAGCCCATCTGGCGAGAGAGGTCAGGATGCAGACCTGGTGCAGTGCAGTCTGAGCTGCATCCAATGCTTTTTAATGCACTCACCTAACCCTATCCATCACAGTGATGTCACTCATTCCATTGAGTGCATTGTGTCTGACATTGAGTGATGCAATCTCAGCTTGCATCATAAAGCCTGCATCCAGATGCTATTGCGTCTGGCACCAACAACCATGCCATGTCATTAGTTACTTTAATCACCTTTTTTCCTAATTGCTCGGATTAAACTGCAGCAGATCGTCTTGACAATGTCTACATGCCTAAATGCATCTATCTATCTATCTATCTATCTATCTATCTATCTATCTATCTATCTATCTATCTATCTATCTATCTATCTATCTATCTGTCTGTCTGTCTGTCTGTCTGTCTGTCTGTCTGTCTTTCTATCTATCCATCCATATCTCCATATCAATCAATCTATCTATCTATCTATCTATCTATCTATCTATCTATCTATCTATCTATCTATCTATCTATCTATCTATCTATCTATCTATCTATCTATCTATCTATCTATCTATCTATCTATCTATCTATCTATCTATCTATCTATCTATCTATCTATCTATGACGTATGGGGGTGACCCACCCTACCTGTAGTTTCGAAGAAATGGAACAGTCCGCCAGTTCGCCACGCCCCCTCTGCTCTCTCCTGTTGATGTTTTTATTGTTTATGTCAGTCAGACGATTGATGGAGGAAGTGACAAAAAACACCAAAACAAACTAATCGATTTGACTTTCCGCAACTCTCATTCAGAGACGTTATGAAAAACAGGATTATTGCCCCGAAACATATGCTGTCAACGCAAGGGGTAATAATAAACTCATGGAGCTGCGGAGAGTAACGAGCCTCCGGCGGGGCTGCAAAAGAGCCAAGCCGCCCAGCGCGATCATGTGGCGGGATAGTAAAGTTCTGCGCCCGCTGCCCGTGGAGACCAATAATGATGAGGAACCCATGGAGGAAGACGACTTTTTCTCCTTGGGGTTCCTCAAGAAGGACAATTTCGAGGCTGGGATAGTCTTCACAGCGCCTCGGTATAGTTTAATTCGGGAAGTGGGTCGCGGGAGCTACGGCGTGGTTTACGAGGCCGTCGCCCGGAGGTCTGGAGCTCGTGTGGCGATTAAAAAACTCCGTTGCGACGCGCCTGAAAAAGTGGAGCTGGCGCTGGCTGAGTTCTGGGCCCTGGCGAGCCTGGAGAAAAGGCACGAAAATGTGGTGCAACTGGAGGAGTGTGTCCTGCAGAGAAACGGGATGGCACAGAAGATGAGCCACGGGAACAAACGAAACAAGCAGTATTTGAGATTAGTGGAAACGTCGTTGAAAGGTGCGTTTTTAGTCAGTATATTGAAGCAAAGTTTGTTTTAGGACATTATCCTTAATCATAAAAGTTCAGAAAAGTATAGTTTGTTAATTCTAAATAGGGAAATCATTTTAGCAGCACTGTCAAAGTACTGTCAATTAAATAGTGCTAATGTTGTTTTGTAGTCAGCTTACATGTGTTTTCAGACTGAATATATTAAAAGTAGCGTGGTAAACAATATTGGGACTGTTAAAATAAACGAATGTGCCTGATAAAATCAACTTTCACTCAATAAATTGATTTTATATTCGCACATTCGTTGATTGACAACCTGCTCCCTATGTTGTTTACCAGGCTACTTTGAATATTAGATCTAAAATTGCATGTAAATATCACTTCAAAAATAACATTAGCACTATTGAATTGACTGTGAACAATGTTACTTTGATGGTCATTGTCTGGTAATGTGATTCAATATTTAGAGTTTGTAATATTTGAACCTTTAATGCATAATCTGATTCATTTCATACAGATTATGTCACCAGCAGGAGTAGGTCAGGCTTGTATTGTTTTGTAATACAAATGTATAGAGTTGCACACTTTTAATGCAATGCATTCTGCTTTAATATTATAAAGCATTTTAAAGCAGCATGCATACAGTTGCACATGTTAATGCAATGCATGCACTTTAAAATGATTTATGATTTCATTGTGCATTTCAGTGCATTAACGGGCAAGTAAGGAAGCCAGGCTTTGCATGAGGGAACATCATGTTCTTGTACCCATCATGCTTTAACCCTTTCAGTGCCATATAGGCCAGTTTAGGTAACACCTCTGATGAACTACTTTCATTATTAAATGCAATACTACTTATTTATTTATACATTTACCAAAGGCTCAGCAGTTAATATTTTTTGTTATTATTTTCATAGTTTTTTTTATTGTCAATATTAGTTAAATTCATTGTGTGTTTTCATTAAGCACAAGTACTTTTGTGAATATTTAAATGTTAATATTTTTTTAAAATCTTTGCAATCACAAAAAGTCACACATTTCATAATTAAAATTGTGCATTGCATGAAAATTATTTAATTTGCAAAATTAATTGATTTTTGAAACTTTTTAAATTTCTGATTATTAAAAAATATAAAAAAACATGAAATCATAATTTTTAAGTTATTAAAAATTGTAATTTGCATGTTACGTTAATTGTTTTTGCATGGTCACGAATACCTCGAATATATAGTTTTGGCCTGAAACATTTCTGACATGCCACGATCCATCTAATGGGATTATATAAATGTAAAAATTGTAACGTCATGTTGGTGTATTGTGGCGTGGTTTGGTGTGTTCAGGTGAACAGTGAGTTGTGTGTTTGTGGTGTCGTGTGAGCGCTATATTTGTGTTGGTGCTCAGCAGTTGGAGGATCTATTTTGTGCTGACTGCTGTTACGTAAGTGTCACCATTTTATGGCCTCGTCTACAATGGAAAAACTAAGCCTGACTTTACAGGCTTGTTTAGAAATGATTTTGGTCACCAATTTTGAGCTAAATAATGTTTGTCTATGAATTAATGCCGTGTTTGAATCAACTAGGACAATATTTGGTGTTTGTGCCCTGTTAGCATAATAAAGTTTCTGAAATAAACTAATTTATAGATCATACTTTCGTTCATAACAGAGATTCAGCCAGCAAAACCCCCTAAATTCAAAAGATTTATGCTGTATATTTTTATCAGAAAGTTTTAAGTATTTTTGACTTGGTTTTTTAGTGTTTTTATTTATATATTGTTTTTGTCAGTGCAAGTATAAAGGTTAATTTCTAAATTATAGCATTTGCAAACAAACTATTTATAGATTATTATTAAATGTGATTTTTCATTACTTAATTTTCAATCATGGATTTTGTTTTGTAACCTGTAATTTTAAAATAATAATAATAATAATAAAAAATAATATTTAAAATAGCCGATAGCTGTAACCCATGACTTTTCCATTAGTCGATTTATGTTCTTATTTTACTTTATATGGCTGCAAATTTGCCAGAGTAATTGGCGGTTCATTCAACTATGGCGACCCCTAATAAATTAGGCTCTAAGCCAAAAGACAGTGAGTGAGTGAGTGAGTGAGTGAGTGAGTGAGTGAGTGAGTGAGTGAGTGAGTGAGTGAGTGAGTGGCTGCAAATACCATTTATCGCATGCTATGCATATTTAATCTAATTCAAGTTTCCTTGTATAGTGCTTTTCACAACAATTATTGTATCTGCTCTGTTGCATTTCTGTTAGAAAATATCCAAAGAAAATGGAAAAACCCTATTTGAATAATCGATTACAGTGGAAGATCAATCAATTATGAAAAATAATCCATAGCTGCAGCCCAAAACTTTTTCATTTGTCAAATTTTGTTTGTATTTTACTGTTAATGGCTGCAAATTTGCGGCTGGAAGGGTATCCACCACATAAAACATACACCAGAGTAATTGGCGGTTCATTTCGCTGTGGCGACCCCTGATAAATTAGGCTCTAAGCCAAAGGATAATGAGTGAGTGAGTAAATTAGTGGCTGCAAATATCATTTATCGCATCCTATGCATATTCAATCTAATTCAAGTTCACTTGTATAGTGCTTTTCACAATAATTATTGTATCTGCTCTGTTGCATTTCAGTCACAAAATCTTCAAAGAAAATGGAAAAAGCCTATCTGATTAATCGATTACAGTAAAGGATTAATCAATTACTAAAAATTGTCCATAGCTGCAGCCCAAAACTTTTCCATTAGTCAATTTTTGTTTGTATTATACTGTAAATGGCTGCAAATGTGCATCTTGAGGGGCATCCGCCACATAAAACATATGCCAGAGTAATTGACAGTTCATTCCGCTGTGGCATCCCCTGATAAATCAGGCTGTAAACCAAAGGATAATGAGTGAGTGAGTAAATTAGTGGCTGCAAATATTATTTATCGCATCCTATGCATGTTCAATCTAATTCAAGTTCACTTGTATAGTGCTTTTCACAACAATTATTGTATCTACTCTGTTGCATTTCAGTCACAAAATCTTCAAAGAAAATGGAAAAAGCCTATCTGATTAATCGATTACAGTGATAGATTAATCAATTAATAAAAATAATCCATAGCTGCAGCCCAAGACTTTTCCATCAGTCAATTTTTGTTTGTATTATACTGTAAATGGCTGCAAATGTGCATCTTGAGGGGCATCCGCCACATAAAACTTATGCCAGAGTAATTGACAGTTCATTCCGCTGTGGCATCCCCTGATAAATCAGGCTGTAAACCAAAGGATAATGAGTGAGTGAGTAAATTAGTGGCTGCAAATATCATTTATCGCATCCTATGCATATTCAATCTAATTCAAGTTCACTTGTATAGTGCTTTTCACAACAATTATTGTATCTACTCTGTTGCATTTCAGTCACAAAATCTTCAAAGAAAATGGAAAAAGCCTATCTGATTAATCGATTACAGTGATAGATTAATCAATTAATAAAAATAATCCATAGCTGCAGCCCAAGACTTTTCCATTAGTCAATTTTTGTTTGTATTATACTGTAAATGGCTGCAAATGTGCATCTTGAGGGGCATCCGCCACATAAAACATATGCCAGAGTAATTGACAGTTCATTACGCTGTGGCATCCTCTGATACATCAGGCTGTAAGCCAAAGGATAGTGAGTGAGTGAGTGAGTGAGTGAGTGAGTGAGTGAGTGAGTGGCTGTAAATACAATTTATCGCATCTCATGCATATTTAGTTCAATTCAGGTTTACTTGTATAGCGCTTTTCACAATAATTATTGTTTCAAAGCAGCAAAGGGCACATTATTGCAATACAATCATATTTAGAAAAGTGAATATTATTAGTTACCATGACTTTAGTAATTGCTAATAACTTTAACTACTAACTAATAGCTCTTAACAGTTAAAGTTATTACATATAAATATAGTTAACCTGCATTTATATACTATTTAGGCGAAGTCTATGCTTACTTGTTGAGTGAAGTGTAGATGAAATGAGATGTTGGTGTACATTTGTTTTTGTTAGGATCATCTGAGACACTCATCTTCAAGTGTTTTCAATAGTTTTTGTTATTTTAAAGTCACTTCCACAGGTCACAGTCCACTTATTCTCCATGCATTTCCCAGCCTTTGCATCCTGAATTGAAGTTGTGTTAGCTTGTCGCAGAACGCAGACAGATTACCAGCGCTTAGTCTCTGTTTGGAAAGGCTCCAAACGTGCCGCTCAACCGAAATCTGTGTTCAGCTAAAGTCGGGTGTTTTGCTGGCCTGTCTGAGCTCACTAAACAAACACTTTAGCTCTTGCCAGCTAAACGTTCTTTGTTGAAGGATTGGGTTTGAACAGTAAAGCCGCTGTAGTTTCAACAGGGCCGGCTTTAATCAAACACAGACACCTCTGTTCGCTAATGAGTCCGAAACGACGGCTTATCAGTTACAGACCAGAAACATTCAATAAAGTTTTATCTGACTCAGCAGAAATGGCTCAATCAAGCGCATGAGTAGATTATGAAGTGCATGGGATTGATTTGCAGGCATAATGAATGGGATTTTGTTTTACAATAAGCACAGATGATGATGGTTCTGAATGAGCCCACTTGGAGCAGATTGTTGTGTTTTTCATGCTTTGAAAGCCCAAAAGGGATGAGAAATTATTAGACGCTCAACAAGAAATCAATATTCACCCTATTTAAAGGCCACCTAGGTTACCCCTTTTTTCAGATTTAATATAAGTCTTTTGCGTCTCTAGAATGTGTATATAAAGTTTCAGATCAAAATACCCATCAGATTTTTCATTATACCTTTTACAAGATGCTGTCTTATACTGATTTCCAGCAGGGGGTGGTTTTGTCGTACTGCGCCTTTAAGACGATTCTTTCCCGCCCACTTTCTCGCCCACTACATGCCTCCTCCCTCAGCTGCATCAGACAACAGACAGACTTAAAGGAAGAAGGTCTCACGTAGCGTTTGTGAGATACTACAGTAAGAACTAACCTTTACTAATCAGTATTGTGAAGTTGCATTGATGAGTCACACACAGTATCGTTACAAAGTTAACGCGCGCACACACACACACACACACACACACACACACACACACACACACACACACACACACACCACAGATGACACACACACACACAGGCAGGCAGACAGAGCGCGCTTAGCTTAGTTAAGGCTAACCTCAAGTACTGTGTGGATATCTGTTATGCTAATGTACAAAATAAACCTGATTTAACTTCCACAAACCGGGATTGAAGCGTCTTCTTTTATAATTGTTCTGACACGCGGCTGTGCTGATGAAGTAAAGCTGAAGTAAAACGCTGTAATTAATTACACACATACTCTGTTTTAAAACACTTTAAACATGTGAAACTTACTCTTAATCACATTTGATGATGATTGCTGATCCTAGCGAACAGAACAGAGCTTTTATTCCTGGTTGCTTTGCGTATGTCTGCCTGGTCTTGTTGACATATACACGTGACTACCGGAACATGTTAATGCGCGCAGCTGTCAATCAATTCGGTGGGCGGGGGGAATCGCACACCTACGTAATGGTGCGATCGATTTGAAAACAGCTCCAATTGGCCGACCCTTTTTTTTGTAGTTAAATTGAAAAAAAAGGACTGGGTGTGTTTATATCACCCCAGTATGACGGTCTATACACTATACCAACACACAGATCTGTCCAAACAGCTTGAAAAGTAGATTTTTTACCATAGGTGCCCTTTAAAGAGATAGATCACCCAGAAATGAAAAAAATATCATTATTACTCTTGGGTGGTCAATAGTGGTGTAACAGATCACAAATGTCACATTTCGGATGACATTCTGTTTCTTAGTCACGGATCGGACCATTTTTCGGATCAGCTAAAAAGGGGAGGAGACAAATGTAATTTGCTTTCCATTTATTACAAAAAAAGCACTGCAAAACACTTTTGGCTTTAACAAACAGAACTGAAAACCTGTAATTTTATCAAAAATAAAATGAAAAAATGGTTAGCTGAATAAAAATAATGTCAAATGTTCAGCACTGAAAAATTCACTATTACTACTACTGTTGCTGATAATGCCAAATGTAGAAATTTAACATTATCAGGGCTCGAAATTAACCTTTTGTCTTGGTAGCACTGGTTTACTACACGTTTTCTATTATTTTTTTATATTATTAAAAATACACGTTTTATATTATTATATTAAACTATAAACTGTTAACTCAGTACTTCTGTGTTAGTTAACTCAAAAGACTAAAGATTGAATCTCTTTCTTGATTTTTGCCTTTTCAGATTTGAATGCAGCAATTCGAAGGATTAATAAACCAAATCACTATCATATATATTTTATGTTATGTGGTTCCCGATCTTGTAATGATTAATCTTGCAGCTTACACTACAGGCTAAACAAGTAGTAAAGAAAACACCTTTAGTAAACTTTGTTAATAAGAAACCCACTGCATCCCGAATAACTGACCACAACTGCTTCCGTCATCATTATATTTTGGATTAAAGCCTAAATGGTTTCATACATGTGATGTGAATGATGCGAGAGGCGATCGTTACAATTTTAGGATTAATCTATTAATAAAAAATGTATTAATTTGCGGGTCACCGACCCATACACATCACAGATCAACCGTGATCTGTTACACCCCTCGTAGTCAAAAGTTTGAGTTCGGTATCAATCGATACTGAAATTTAAAAAACGTTAACATCTGAGCTCCAATAACAGTTGTTTCTGTTGAGCGTGTCAACATAATGACCAATCAGTTGTGTTTAAGTGTGCGCTAAAATATAAGCAGGAAATGGATGTTTTTAAACCTTCAGTTCCGATTGGTACCAAACTCTGAACTTTTGACAACCCTACTCTTAACTCAAACTACTTATGTAAAATGAGCTGAATCAACACAATTCTTAAGGGTTTTAAAACAACTTAATTGTTTTATGTTTCACTTAAATTTGTAAAAACAATTACATTAACTTAATTGATTTATGTTGCGACAACATGAAGGAATTCTGTGGAACCCAGAGTTTTTTTTACAGTGTAGGCCTTCACGATATGGTTCTGTGGGTGTTTCTGTTTATTTTGTATTTTCTATTGGATTGAGCTCCGGTGATTGGCTTGGCCATTCTACAGCTTGATTAGACTGCAGCTTGATTCTTTTTTCTGAAAGCATTTGAGAGTTTCCTTGGCAGTGTTTTGGATCATTGTCTTGCTGGAATGTCCACCCTGCTTTCATCTTCATCCTCCTGCTAATGTAGATGTTGGAGTGAAGCAGCTGATATTAATTTACACAGACAAAGGGCAGTTGGTTGCTGAAGAACTACTGAGAGATTTCAGCTGCTGTCTGGGCTTTCACTGCCTTCCTACACCTTTCCTTCATTTGTTCAATGCTGCGTCATTTCTTTTTATTGCACATTTTTTGTAAAATAATTTGTTTTGGTTTCTTTGCACATGGATATCTTTAGGTGTTATCAACATCCGGTGAAAAGTCAATAGCACCTTTAGAAATATGTTTTTTTAGAATGGTGACATGTTCAATACTTATTTCCCCTTACTGTATTTGTAGATGCAATTAGGGTGTGCATAAAAATCCCATGCTAACTGCAATCTGCTTTCGTTCCAGGTGAGCGTATCCTGGGTTACCCAGAGGAACCTTGTTATCTTTGGTTTGTTATGGAGTTCTGCGATGGCGGTGACCTTAATCAGTACATCCTCTCACGACGGCCCGATCCACGGACCAACCGAAGCTTCATGAAACAATTAACCAGTGCTGTGGCCTTCCTCCATAAAAACAACATCGTCCACCGGGACCTCAAACCAGACAACATTCTCATCTCGCAGAAATCCGGCAATCCTGTCATCAAGGTTGCAGACTTTGGTCTCAGCAAGGTGTGCGCGGGACTCAGCTGCATGCAAAACGAAGGCGACGATCAGGTTAATAATAAGAACATAGTGAACATTAATAAGTTCTGGTTATCATCAGCATGCGGATCTGACTTTTACATGGCACCCGAGGTGTGGGAAGGCCATTACACGGCCAAAGCGGACATTTTTGCGCTAGGCATCATCATTTGGGCTATGATTGAACGGATCACGTTTATTGATGCCGAGTCTAAGCGAGAGCTTCTCGGGACGTATGTTCGCCAGGGAACTGAGATCGTCCCGGTGGGTGAAGCCTTGCTGGAGAATCCCAAAATGGTTTTACACATCCCGCAGAAAACACGGAGCATCATGTCGGAGGGCGTCAAGAGGCTTCTGCAGGACATGCTTGCGGTTAATCCACAGGACCGGCCAGATGCATTTCAGCTGGAGGTCAGAATGGACCAGGTCACATGTGCGGCGTAAGAGGACCCGATTGGCCAAAACAAGCATGCAACTTTTTCAGGTGGGTTGAAGTTGTTTTGATATGTTGTTGAAATGCCTGCCACTTTTTATTATTTTACGTTTTGATTTTGTAAATGTTCAGTGACTTGGTTGCTTTATGCATTTTTGTCAGGCGGTACGTTTTATAATATAAAAGAAAGTTGATTTGAGAAAGTTGAAAGGAGAAGAATAGTTGAGTATTAAAGCTTAGAGATCAATTAAATTTCAGAAATTAAGGTTTTAAAACAAAATCAGTTGTTAACTGTATGTGCCTGCTATTTGTTTTTACATTCATGCAAAGAATTATGAAATACTTATGCTTATCGGCTAATATATCGGTTATCGGCCACCAAACCTAAAGAGTTATCGGTTATCGTATCGGTCACAAATTCCACATCAGTGCATCCCTACTATTAACAATCTTCACAGTACTTCAACGACAGCTATGTGTATGTGTTAAAGTGCAGTTCATATCACTGGTCATATCGACATCGGCCAGTAAATGCTATTTTTAATATTAGCTTTATTGATCCAATACCAAAGTAAGCCGATATCTTTAAACCAATTAATTAATTACTTCACATGCTTGCTGCTCATCACTTTTAAAAATTATTTTACAGGTATTTTGATTTTGTAAATGTTCAGTGACTTGGTTGCTTTATGCATTTTTTGTCAGGCGGTATGTTTTATAATATAAAAGAAAGTTTGGAGAAGGATAGTTAATTATTTAAACTTAAAGATCAGTTATAATTCAGAAATTAAGGATTTAAAACAAAATCAGTTGTTAATTGTATGCATTTGAGATTAGTTTTTACATTAATGCAAAACATTATGAAATATTTATGTTTATCGGCTAATATATCGGTTATCGGCCTCCAAATCTAAAGTTATCGGTTATTGTATCGGTCGAAAATCCCATATCAGTGCATTCCAACTAGTAACAATCTTTACAGTACTTCAATGGCATTTATGTGAATTTGTTTATGTTTATAAAATGCAGTTCATATCACTGGTCATATCAATATTGGCCAGTAAATGCGATTTATAATATTTGTATTATCTGTCCAATACCATAGTTAGCCGATATCTTTAAACCAATGAATTATGTATAATTTACTTCACATGCTTGCTGCCTGCCACTTTTTAAATATTTTACAGGTATTTTGAATTTGGTTAATATTCATTGACTTAGTTGCTTTATGCATTTGTTTTATCAAGCTGAAGGTTTTAAAATATAAATGAAAGTTAGAGACGAATAGTTGATTAATAAAGCTCGGATATCAGTTCACATTTTTTAGATGTTAAGGTTTTAAAACAAAATCATTTGTTAATTGTATGTGTAAACTATTTGTTTTTACATTCAAATAAAGAATTATGAAATATTTATGCTTATCGGCTAATATTTTATTTAATAATATTTCTTTATTATATCGGCTAATATTTTATAAGTTTTGCATGCTTGCTGCCTGCCACTTTTTTATTTTACTAGTATTTTGATTTTGGTTGATTCCCAGTGACTTGGTTGCTTTACGCATTTACGAATTTTTTTCGTCAGGCGGTAACTTTTATAATATTAAGGAAAGTTGGAGATGAAAAAATTGATTAATAAAGCTTAGACATCAGTTCACATTTTTCAGAAGTTAAGGTTTTGTTTTTAAATACATGCAAAAAATAATTAAATATTTCTGTTTATTGGCTAAAATATCGGTTATGGGCCTCCAAATGTAGAGTTATCGGTTATCATATTGGTCTAAAATTCCAAATCAGTGCATCCCTACTATTAACAATCTTAACAGTCTTTCAATGCCTGTTATGTAATTGTGTTTATGTATTAAAATACACTTAATATCACTCCAGTACAGAATGATCTTGATTTTGGTTCCTAGAGTTCATCGTCTATTCATGTATTTCTTGCCTTTCCTGCTGCTTTGTAATTCTCTAATCAAAGCCACGTTTTAGGCCTGAGGGGCATCATGTACCCTGCCGTTCCCTGTTTACTTGTGTAATGCCACACCCTGAGCTTCTGTGAACATCCCGTTAATAAGATCTGACACCTTTTTATCCACTGAATGTGAGCTGCCAAAGGCGATCATGTCAAAGCTTCATATGCGACACATTCACAGCCAGGTGCTCTTTGTTTTTTGGATAGGAAACAAATAATGTACGTCAGTAATATAACGAAATGCCTTGCCGCAAAGTTTATTGCATTCTTTTGTGGATTATGCTTTGGACGAGGTTCAACTAAGAACGCTAACGAAAATTCTATGCATTTTAGAAGCTACTGAATTTTATTATATAATAAAGCGATGTTTGTATAGTTTAATTATAGTTTTGCAGTGTTTTATGATGTAAAAATATATTCGTTTAAATACTAAAAATAATTATTAAAATCATTATATATATATATATATATATATATATATATATATATATATATATATATATATATATATATATATATATATATATATATATATATATATATACACAGTTGAAGTCAAAATTATTAGCCCCCCCTGTTTATTTTTTTCCCCAATTTCTGTTTAATGGAGAGAAGATTTTTTCAACACATTTCTAAACATAATAGTTTTAATAACTCATTTCTAATAACTGATTTATTTTATCTTTGCCATAATGACAGTAAATAATATTTGACTAGATATTTTTCAAGACACTTCTAAACAGCTTAAAGTGACATTTAAAGGCTAAACTAGGTTAATTAGGGTAACTAGGCAGGTTAGGGTTATTAGGCAAGTTTTTGTTCGACAATGGTTTGTTCTATAGACTATCGGGAAGGGAAAAAATAGCTTAAAGGGGCTAATAATTTTGACCTTAAAATGGTGTTTAAGAAAATTAAAAACTGCTTTTATTCTAGCCGAAATAAAAAAAAAGACTTTCTCCAAAAGAAAAAATATTATCAGACATACTGTGAAAATTTCCTTGCTCTGTTAAACATCATTTGGAAAATTCAAAGGGGGGCTAATAATTCTGACTTCAACTGTATGAATATATTTTGTGTCAGAAATATTTCATATTTATGCTTAAAAGTGTGTTGTTTATGAACATTTTCTGATTATTAATAATATGCACTTATTGTTTTATTTAATAAATTATAAATGTTCTATAACACCTTTAAACATCTCAAAGCACTATGTAGAAGGTACAAAAATAAAATAAACAATAATAGTTTATAAATAAAAATGCTAAAAAACATCAATATATAGTGTAATAAATAACAAAATCTAAACAAATAATAATAAAAGGTAAAATCACCTTTATCTTACATAAAATTATATTAACTTAAAAGTGATTTCGCTTAAAAAATTATATATAAATATATATATTAGCTATCGTCTTCAATAAAAAAAATACAGTGCATTAATAGAAATCTATAGTCCATATATCAATACAATATATATCATCAATATTTATTTAACATTAATGCTTTAGTTATTTAGATTAATTTGATCAACGATTTCTTTACATTACTGTGACAAGTAAATTGCATGTTATTGACTTTATTGCTGATAAATTTATATAACACCTTTAAACATCTCAAAGCATTATGCAGAAAATACAAAAATCAAATCAAATAAACAACAATAATATAAATGTAAGTAAAAATTATAAAAATATTATTATATAGTATAATAAATATATAATAGAAATAATATAAACAATAAAATTAAATATAAAAAAAAAGATCTATACAAACAACAATAAAAGATCGAATTAACATCCACATAATAACAATAATTATACAATTAAATAATAATTATATATATATATATATATATATATATATATATATATATATATATATATATATATATAAAATACAGTGCATTAATACAAATCTATAGTCCATATATCAATATCATCAATTAATGTACTTTTTAGATTATTCAGATCAATGTATTATTATTTACATTATTTTGGCTAGTAAATTTTATTTACTTCATTATTGACTATAATTAAATTATACTGACTTTTAACACTGCTATTATTTTGAAATCCTGTGAGTCTGCCATCTAAATAGTGTTAAAGTATAAATCTCGTCACACTCCCAAACCAGGTGTTGTTGTTTTTTTTTTCGTAACCAGAAGTTACGCAACCAGCGGCTTCCCTGCAGAGTTTATTGCATTCTTTTATAGATTCAGCATTGGAGCAGATTCAGCCGAAAAGCCCAAAGGAAATTAAATGCATTTTCGAAGCCTCTTTATAGTACAGTTTTAATCAAAAAATTGCTGCGCTGGAGTCCTGAGGGCAGACCGGTTATTCAGAAACAATGATTTGCACGCATGTCCACTGGAATGCAATGAAGATGGCTGATTTTGGTGTGAGATGGCAGACTCTGTGTTTGACCATGTGTACAGGACTCGTGCGTCACAGCTTTATGGCCCGCTTTTTTCACTGAGCATATAGAGCAGTTATGCAACACACTGGGGCTCTCAGCCTCTTCCTCCCCCCCACGGTCTGAATGGATTCATCCATCCGTCAAAACAACAGTCTGAGTTTGTCTCACAGGGTTTATGCAGGGGTTATGCATTAGGGATGCGCGACATATATCGAAAATACGTAGAGTGGAGAAAAGAGAGGAACATAACAATAGCAAATAAGAGTCAAAATATCTGTGTTTTTTTGTGTGTTATTTATAGTGTTTTAAAGCATCTCAACAATTTATTTCAGTCTGAATTGGATTTAATTGAATCTGAATTTTTTTGTCTTTTCTTTTTTAAATAATTTTGAAATTATGTTTAACAGAGCAAGGACATTTTCACAGTACGTCTGATAATATTTTTTCTTCTGGAGTTTTATTTCGGTTAGAATAAAAGCAGTTTTAATTTTTTTAAACATTATTTTAAGGTCAATATTATTAGTCCCTTTAAGCTACATTTTTTTCGATCTACAGAACAAACCATCATTATATAATGACTTGCCTAATTACTCTAACCTGCCTAGTTAACCTAATTAACCTAGTTAAGCCTTTAAATGTCACTTTAAGCTGTATAGAAGTGTCTT